AGTTCGGTCCCTTGAAGGTTCATTATAGCGGGGTTTGACTGTAATAAAAGTATCAATAATTGAAACACTGTTTTTTAACTTTTAAAATCAATATATATATAAAAAAATCAGTTGATTTATATAAATGATTTTTTTAAAAAAATCATTTGATTTAAATCATGTTTTAAATCCTAATTTAAATCAAGCTGATTTAAATCAACAAACCCTGCTTATTGGTCGAGAATGTTTTAATATATTGGGGACACACTGAGTAAATGTTCCCTTTGATAAAGCTCAAATGTCTTACCACTTTTTTCAGAAAAGTAGTTTTTATCCGTCACTAAAAACTTTGTATTTTATTTTATTTTATAACCGTCGATGATCAGCCAACCCCCAATTTTGGGTTTAAGACTACTAATGTTGAACTTCGTAGCCTTGTAATTTTGAGCCCTAATCCAGAAGACAAGGGAACTCCTGGATCAAGTATTGGGAAAAATTTGCCCCCGCGGAGGATTATTTGATAAAACCTCGCATTTGAGTACATGGAGAGGATAACCCATGATCCGTCTACCACTGAGGATATATTACGTCAGCACTGTGGTCGGTGAGAGCCGGGTGCGGAATCCGAATCGACCGGCCATAGCTGGAATTCGAACCTGGGTTACCTGGGAAGGCGAGTTCTCTATCCCCTGAGCCACCACAGCTCTAGCCACTAAAAATTTTTGTATTTCGGTCTCCTCGGTGGAAAATGGGTTAATATATTGGGTAAACACTGATTAATTTAGGGAAGGGCATTCGGGGCTTGTGCCCAGAGCTCAGAGGTCTTTTAAAAAGCTTCTTCTCTCTCGAGCGAAATCAACCGTTAAAGGTATATTGACGAAAAGATAAGTTTTAAATATGCTCTTATCCAGTTTCATCTAACTTTAAGAAATAAACAGTAACATTGATTTTCAAAAATAATATGCAAAAACTAGTTTTAAAAAAACTATTAGTTTAATTTTTTTTTAATTTTAGAGGGAGATGATCACCAAAATCTATCTCTTTTCTACAACTATCCATATTCTATAGAACTTTTTACCTCTTTTACCAATGACACGTTGAATAACAATAGAAATAATCTTTTTCCGCCTTTTAAATAAATTTCTTGGCAGTAAAATTATTAAAATTTGATAAATAATGTTGTTGTAGTTCACTTACGTCGCACTAGAGCTGCACAATGGGCTTTTGGCGACGGTCTGGGAAGCATCCCTGAGGATGATCCAAAGACATGCCATCACAACTTTGATCCTCTGCAGAGGGGATAGCTCCTCTGCTTTGGTAACCCGAGACCTGCACGCGAAGTCAAGCACTTTACGGTGGAACAGTTCAACGAGGACCGATGTCGCATACCCTCGGTCCCTACGCAGGCTCGTTCCTGTACAGTTGATCTGTGAGTGTACCTCTATCGAATACGAAAGCCAGTATGTCCGTCTGCCATGGTGCCTACCCAGACCATTAGACGACCTCTATCATAGTGGTTCTTTTCGACAATGCTAGAGGACTGATATCGTCTCCAGGGCTCTTTCCAGTTGAGAACATGTTTTGAGTCGCTGTTCAAACTGAATTCATTTATCATGAAGAGTACCCTTCTCCAATCATCCTCTGTTCAAGACAACTGTTTTCGGTACCATGCTAGACTGCACTTGTTGTTCACAGTTAGAAGGAGGCAGACTACTAAACGCTAGGCATACATCATCCCATCTGCTTTAAGTCTCTAGGCGACTATTTACCGTGAAATGGATGTTTCTGTTGCTTGATACTGGTTGCGGGACAGTTTTCTCGCTATCGCGAACCTATTCCCCTTGGCTGGGAGTCTCAAATAATGGTCTTGAACAGGCGTTGTCACCCTTTGGTGGCCTTTGGCCAGGTCGGCAGACTGCTGTTCCTATCTCTGTGAACTGTTTCCACAGATTTGTCATAACATTTCTCGAAACAGCGAGGTCCCTGCAACTGGTAGCCTGTTTTTGGCCCACCTCTAGTCTTCAAACAATTCGCCATCTTGTGGCATTGTCTAGACGATGATGACTGGCCATACTTACAATGGTTTAACGAAAAAACTCAAGAAACGAGGAGTGGGTTAAGCTACGATGCTTAAAAACGTCTTCATGCTACAAGCTTCGGTGAGTGAATGAGGTATCTCAACACAAACGTGATCAAAGCACTACTGCCTTACGGCATCACAGGCCACTGCGTGGCAAAAGTGTCTGCGAAGAGCTCAGGTATTATCTGATACCTTATTTGACTATACGTGTCACTTATTCATTTTTTTTTTAAAATAACGTTCCTCCTTTTAGTTGTTTTCATCAGAGTATAACTACGCAAGGATAAGCATTTTATTAATGTAGGCAATAAATTAATCTCACTTTTCCCGATCGCAACGCTCGTTTACGCCATCTGGGAAGAAGACCGGTTCCATGTCTTTACCGTCCCCCTTCCCTCTCCTCCTCGTATCAGTTGTATAAAAATGTACTTTGCCACCTGTAGCCCATTTCGATTGCCAATTTTGAGTTAGGAAAGTTTCCAATTTTTCTTCGCTTTTTTTTTAAAAAAAAATATGTAAAAATTGACTGAACGAAGCAGGTTTTAGGTCGCGTTCCAATATTCGCACTGGTTACACTAGTTACACTAACGTGAACTAGTCACGGTGACCTCAGTTCGCTCCGTAATTTAGGAACGATCGGTGCGGTTAGTTCGCAGAAACAAACCAGATCATCTTTTGCAACCATCGCTTCTAGATTTGGTAGCCTATAGCAATCAGTTGTTGTTGTTGTAGTTCATTTACGTCGCAATAGAGCTGCACTATGGGGAATTGGCGACGGTCTGGGAAACATCCCTGAGGATGATCCGAAGACATGCCATCACAATTTTGATCCTCTGCAGAGGGGATGGCATCCCCCGCTTTGGTAGCTCGACGACCTGCACGCGAAGTCTAGCACTTTCCAGTAGAATACTTAAATGAGGCCCAATACCGCACATCCTCGGTCCCTACGCAGACTGATCCAAGCGGTCACCTACCCACACACTGACTGCAGCCAGTGATGCTTGACTTCGGTGATCTGCTGGGAACCGTGTCTTAACGATCAGTACACTGCGGTACCCTATAGCTATCAGAAGCAGACCCTCTCTTCTCTTTGAATCGTTTCGAAACATATATCAATGATTACATTTATTTTTTGGGTATTATGTATATTTCTTAGGTGCCTGCCAGACGGTCGAGCGGTTAGCGTACCTGAATGCGATGCCAATGACTGAGGGTTCGAATCCCGTTCAGGGCATGGTTGTTTCTCTCTGTGTTGTTCTTTATTGTGTGATGTGTGAATGTGGCCCACTCTATAAATGGGTATCAGTGGCAGGGAGGCGTGGGTAATGTTGATCGCCTCTGTGACTCAGGTTCACTGGTGCCCACTGGGTAACATTATTTGTATACTTTTAAAGCCGTTTTATAGAATAAAGCGAAAAATTAAGTTCCTGCTTCTAAGATTGTAAAATTAGTTTCAGTTTTCAGCACGAAACAAAATGAAATAATTACCGTATACGGTATAATTATCGTTATTATTAAAAGTAAAACTTTTATTGTATATAAGTAATAAAAAAATAGAATATAGGAAATACTAAGTCTTCTGTTATATTATTTCTTCATTCTTTTCAATTCAGAGTATATAATATGAAGTTAAAGTAAACAAAAGTAACAACCGAGTTTTACTCAAAATTGCCTACAAAAGAAAAAGAAAAAAGTAAAATGTCATTACAAAATTTTTGAATTTTTTTTCCCTACACTTAGTATTAATAATAACTTCTGTTTGTTTTTGCGTATTTTTCCAAATTGAAAATTAAATGTTAGTTATAAAATTTATGCATAATCTAAGTAAGTTTTATAGTTAAATATTTAACGATAAAAGAGAAGTATGAAAATTTACTCAGTGTAATTTTTATTGTTTTTTGTCCAAATATGCTGGTATCAAAATTTTGTCTATATATTTTCTTGCAAAATAAATCGTTATTATTCTAAGATTGAAATAATATCAAACCATTAAGACAGTTTATATCTACTTACATTAAATTAAGGATCCTTTACTCTAATTCAGGAGCTTTACANTTGGAAAAGCTAGCATAAAAAGGCTGAGCTATTTCATAAAGTCCTACATATTTTTGCATTATATTTATATTTGTTCGAAATTTACTTATTGTTAAATTTTTAAAAAGCGTCTTTGCTTGAAGATCCAATAATAATATAGCAAACTGATCTTGCAGGTTGATGTCCACGTTTTTGATGATGAGTTTATTAATTTATGTTCTATAAAGAAACTGATATTAAGTCAATTATAAAAAAAATTCACAAATTTTACATACTCAATTAGATATTTGGGATTTACGTATTAAGAACCGTTTTTTCTTCGACCCTTCCGATTCGGATCGACCCCCATTCGACCCCCTAGCTCAGATCGACCCCCAATTTTGTTAAATAGACCCCTGGGGGTCTATATAGACCACTTTGGCGACTTCTGGTCTAATGAAATGAAATTAATTCTTTTTAAAGTCAACAGAGGGACTAAAATCAAAATAATAAGTAACATAAAGTAATCGATGCCAAGATTTTCAAATAGATACTTGGAAGTATGTAACTATTATATTAATAATATATTAATAAGTATTTTAAGAAATTTATAATATACCAACGACACAGAGTCGATATGACGCATCTCCCATGTACGAAATGTAAATCACAAGAGTAGAGAATTAATTGAAGGACCAATCTCACTGGATATAAATTCGCTGCTGCAAGTTTTGATATTCAAATGAGAACTTGATTGTTGAGTTTTTTCCAGGTAAATATATTTCACCAATCAAGCTCTCAATCATTCACATAGGCAAATTTTTTACATACAGTGTGACTGGCCCCTTAGCAACAGCGAAATATTCATAGGTAGTGAGAACAGTTTCTAAAATAAAAGCTACAAGCAACTCTGTCACACATCAAAAGTAGTTTTTCTTTGCATCAATCAATCAATTCTATTATGACATACCAAAATTGAATTAGTTATTGTTTTTCTCAGCTTATCTTTTTTGATATTTAAAGATTGTTTTAAAGTTTCAAAGTAATTTGTAAATTATCCAAGGTATTTCATCTTTATTAGGTATATTATGTTATATCTGTTTAGTCTGTTGATATAATTTGTGAATATTTTATACGTACAGTGTTTTAAGTCTGTGTTTCACAATTGTTCAGATCCTAGTGTGTAAATATTAGTATACATAGTTTAATTTATTAATATTTTAATGTGTTTTGGGTTACCTTATAGTTATTTTAAAATATTTTAGATGCATACTGTGTGTTTTTTCAAAACTGTTGACGAATATTATCTGTCTAAAATATGTTAATTTGATTTTCAAACAGGCCACCCTTCTCAAAGGTGTTTGGGGATATTTCCCTATATTGATCTGTCGCGCCTACTACAATCGAATCGCCAAGGTCCTAATTGATTTTAAATTTGCAAATTTTTAAAATAAAACATGTAGATGTTTGCTCCTTTCGATATACCTTTCGAGTTGGCTCCTTTATGTGATGTTTTTTTCACCCAGAAGGATACGGAAATATCTTCCAGATCAGGATACAGAAATTTCCCCAGGTGTTTCATAATTTCTGACTAAAAAAGTATTATTAAAAATCTTGCTAATTTAATATTTCAATGGTAAAAATAAACACAATGTTTTAGACAAAGGGCCCATATTGGAAACAGAAAGAAACATCAAAAATACTCAATAAAAATGAATGCCTATTTTTTTCTACGCTTATAATATCGTAACCTTCATGAATAAACCAGGACCAGCGCTAAGGATTTCAAACTATTAGCCAGTAAACAGAAGCGTATTTATGGAAAGACGCACCTATGGCAAATCTTGTACCAACGCTCTTCTTAAAATATTTATATTCCCTTTCTTTTTTTATGCAATATGTAATAAAAGCATTGTTTGAAGTGCCTTATTTAACCCTTTTGGCAATATTGGAAAAAGATTGCATTTAAAAAATAAACAATTAATAAATAAATAAAAATAGACTATAACAATAAAATTATCTCTTTTTAATTGTTATGGATTCATGTGTGTTCAAAATCTTCATTGGTTACAAGTAAAAAGATCTATTTTATCATATTTATAAAAGATTCTATTGCAATTTTTCAACTGACAATAAAAATTCTAAAAATTTATTTAATTAACCACAATTATATTTTAATTATTACAAATATAATTTGGTAACAAAATTACACACACACAACAAATGTCTCTGGGTGAAAGAAGAACTATAACATAACCTTATGATTACCTAATATTTCCTAAATAATAATTGAAGAAAACTGATTTTTTAAAAATAATTATGCTTTGCTAACATCAAAACAATAAAATATCGCGATATAATAAATTCATTAACGATCACAGTTTAAATAATTACAATTTGTTGTGACAATTACATATAAAAAAGCTACAATCAAATTATATATTTTAGTTAGTTTATTTACTGTTCAATAAAAAAAATAAAATAAAAATAATGCTCTTAATATAATTAAGTTTTACAAACATTATATAATAACAAATAATAGGAAAAAATATGTACACATAATTTCATGCAAAAATCTAGACTAAACATCAACAATAATACATTCTTTAATGAGAAATAAATTAGAGGAAGTTGACGTTTTATTTTAAGAATATCTAGAAATAATTAATTTGCTAACAAATGGGTAAAAATTGAAAACTATCAATGAAAATTATCAACGTTAAAGTTATATTTCAGAATTAAGAATTTTTTTGTTTTGTTTTGATTTTTTAATAATTTTTCTTCTTCTCAACGTCTTTATTATGACAGTATTTTTTAAAGAGCGTCTCATATGATTGTTATTCCTTTATGTTCATTTTTCCTATAATTAGGACAATGCGAAAATTTTAAATTAATCTTTAGTTTGAAAATTAAGAATGGTTTTTGTTTCAGTTACTATCTAGCTTTTTCTTTTTTAAAAAAGTTATGTTTCTGTAGACAATTTATTATGACGCTGCGATTAGGAGGGTTTCTATTAGACTTGATTCTTCACTTTTTCTTGAAAATAAGGTAATTCAAAAACTGAAATGTTTAGCTTTAAAATTTTCTTTTAAAAATTGAGATTGTTTTATTTTTATTTTTTTCTGTTTTGCTTTTGTATACAATATTTGTTTCTTTATCGGTGTTAGCTGCGAATTTTTAAAAGCATTTCTGATAGACTTCTCCTTTAATGAATACAGATAATTTTATTTATAGCATTAGAGTTGTTTGTTTTTTTAATGGCTGATGAGTCAGTTTTTTATCCTAAAAATTTCTAATGATCTTAATATCTAATTATCTTTATTATCGTAAGCATTTCTATAAAAATTTTTTCCCCTTTACCCCATACCAATAATGCTGCTATTCGGCTAAATCGCTATTTGTTACTCCCCTATTCATTTAACTTTTTCGCCAAAACTTGGCTTTAGCCAGTCAACTCTGGAACAGTTCTAAAAATGTTGTCCCCTTTTTTTTAAAAATCTATCTTGTTTTGAAGCATTTTGTTATTGTTTAAGTTAGCCTTTGTTTTCGATAACTCTTAAACTATCTCCAGTGGCATAATTTTTTTGGCTTTCTCTGACAAATCTATATTAATATTAATATCTATATTAATATCTTTCTCCAAGATATTTTTAATAGCAGCAAATGTATAGGATATATGTTACTAATTTATAGAAACAGAAGAGATTTGTGCTTCCAAAAAAAAAAAAAAAAAAAAAAAAAAAAANAAAAAAAAAAAAAAAAAGAACCTATGCACATAGGAAAAAAACTGTAAATTTTTTTCATTGTAAACTTAATAATTTTCTATTCTTCGACGCATTAAAGAAATCATATTCTAATACTATAGGTGATAACCTCGCCTTTTGAAAGGAAAAAAAAAAGCACAAATTATTTACTTTCGCATTTTGTAAAATGTCATCACATTAAATAATAATTAAAAATCGTGAAAACCGTGCCAATAACTACTAAGAAAAAGATCACGAGAATCGGACTTTTCACAAAAGGGTTATTCAAATGCGTGCTTCCTTTCGAGATTCGCTTGTTCAAATAACAGATTTTAAGAGCTATGTAGAAAATAAAAGCAATAACTGCCAAAAAATCAATAAAAATAACAGTAGAATCATAGTGTCAAATAGCAAATACTCTAATGCAGGAATCGAATTTCCATATTAACTGGATTATATTGGGATCTATAAAATACATGTGAAAATCTATATCAATAACTACCGAGAAAAACTATCGAAACACCAGACAGATTTATGATGCTATCGGCGTGGATTGAGCTTGCTAAAAAGTTATTATTTAAATGCATGTTTCTAATTTCATGTGTCAAAATAATATAAAATAAAAATACCAGAATTTTAAAAATCACTTGGAAATGTGTAGTAATTACTGCCGAAATGTCGATATGCCATCTTCACTTATTAAAAGTAAATAATGAGATGTGCGTTTTTGTGTGCAATGAAATTGTGTAAAAACGCATCAAGATTTCTTTTTAAAAGAATTTGAAAATTCGAAGCAATAACTATTAAAAAAAAACAGATTGAAAGACTACATGGATTTGTGATGGCATCATTGCAAACAAAGCATGCCAAAGAGTGATTACTTGAATTCACGATTCTAACTTCACATGCTGTAATAATTTGCATGTTATCGATACTTTTGCATAACAGACGTAAGTGGCCTTATGAAGAAGCTATAGAATTCTAGCAACAGTAAATTTTAATGTTTGATAAAACTTGTAAATTTTTTTTTTTTTAAGTTTCCATAATATAGTTAAAAACAGGGTTGAGGAGGATATATATATCAGTGCCTGTGTCTAATAAGTTGCCAAGGTTTCGCAATAATCTGACAGTGGCAAGCAAGAAACTTATAATAGGAGACTAACCTATAATAGGAGACTAAAATTTATAATCGGAGACTAACTCAGGAGTTCTGAATTTTTTTCGGCTACAGAATCCCAAATGCTTTGGGGGAACCCCAAATTAATAAGTAGGGTTAGTAACTATGGATATACTAACCAAAAATATTAATGATAATATTGATTCTATTTAATGCAAAGAATGATCTTTATTTAGTCATTGTTTTATCAATAATAATTTTAAAACAATAAGTTTTATGTCTAAAAGTTGAATTCACAAGCATGGAGTAGCATCTAGACTAGTTCTGAATTTATTTTTGGTGTAAGCATGAGCTGAAAAGGAATGAAGTATGCTGAATTATAGTTTTCAAAAATATGTTATAAACGTTGAGAATGTGGTTATGAAAGAAGCATATTTTTTTTTTAGGATTTGATCATTTTATGTTGAATTGAAAAGTTCGATGAGGAATAATAATGCAATTTTTTACGATTGCATATCTGTTTCATAATTTATTCAATGTGTTGCTATCAGGGCCGGATTAAGTGTACGCAGGGCCCTAGGCCATTCAAATTTTTGGGGCCCTTAGATTATTTTTTTTCTCATATATTTTTTATTTATTCAAATATAAAAGTATTTATATATCCTTTCATTTAAGAAAGCATATTTAAAATTAAAATAAATAATAAATTAAATTTTACTTTATTTTATTAAATTAGAACTAAAAAATAATCATAACATTTTGAAAAATCATAGTTTTTCTTAATTTTTTAAAATGTATCTTCAAAAAATTCATTTTAAGGGCTGGCCTAGTGGGTAATCCGGCCCTGGTTGCTATTGAAAGAAGTAGATATTTTTTTAAAAAAATTTCTAAATCTTTTATTTTTATTTTATTTAAATAATTTCATAAAACTAACCAAAATATCAAATAAATTATGGTGTTTTGTTTGAATATTAAATATAATGTCAAGTTTTAATTATTTCTGGTTTAAAAAATTTATACTCTCGGAACTCCTGGATCCCCAGGGTTCTGCAGAACACCATTTGGGAACTAAGTAGAACGGTATAACTCGTAGGCGTTCCCATTCAAATCAATACATATTTTTTTTCCTACAAAGTGCAAGTACAAAAACATTTTGGAACCTTGGTGGTGGTATGTTGTGCAATCAGGTACTGATGCAGAAATATCCCCATGGTTAGAGTT